ATATATATATATATATATATATATAGCAGTACTTTTCCGTTACTGTATGAGAGAGCGGCGAGACTTTTTGAATTTGTTTGTTAATTCCCCTTCACCGGACACGTTTGTGCACAAAAAGTTTTCACATTTCTCATCAGCAAAGTGTTTACTTTAGTCACATTTGGCAGCGGTCCCAGGAAGTGTGAGACACTAAATTCAATTCAAGCCAGTCCACGAATGAAAGCAGAGCTGTTGATGGAGAATATACGACAGCTTGTATCGGGTGATTGGGGGGGGGGGGGGGGGGCAAGCTTTGACTGTAATCTGTTTGGGGTACTTTGTCGCCATGAGCACAGGTGTGTTTTTTTTTTTTACCATCGTCGTTATCATCGAGCTGTGCCAAATCTCTTTAAAACTGAAATAGAGGCTGACAAACAATTAGTTCAGTTCGGTCCAAAAGGGTTTTCAAACTGTGAGGTGTGCCTCCCACGGGGGAGTTAAAGGGTGGAGAGACACGAGGCGTAGAGACAGGTGGATATCGCCGTTCTAAAAGCAAAGTTATTGCAGTTGGGCCCGTTGACTTGGTCCGCTTCTCCTCACAGTCACCAGTTTGATCCGCTATAGTGGCTGTGACTCGCAGCTCATGAAGTCTCTTTTAACGCACGATTGGTTCAATTTGCATCCAACAACACGCTCCACTCTCAGAGTCACTCAAATCTAAAGACGCAGCCATGACGCACATACCTTTAGAGTCTTTGTTAGTTGCACTCTCCGGCAATATCATCATCTCTGTGTCCATCGCAAATACACGTCCATAAATCTGCTTAGAAATCTCCTCTTTATTACTGCAGAGCTTGCTTGAGAATCTTCACCATTTCAAAGTTTTCTTCCGAAACGAAGTACTGCAGCGATAGTCCATAAGTACATCGCCAACAGGAGCTGCTGATTTATTCAGCGAATGTTGGCAACTTGTCGTACAGGCAAAGAAAAGTTGTAACTGACTCCATGACAATCTTGTTTACAGCCCCCGAATGATAGGAACTGTAGCTTTATTCCAAACAGTAGAGCCTGTTTATGCCCCAAATGAAAGTCAGACAAAGATTAATAACAGGAGTGACAAGATGCATTAATATTATGGGGGGGGGTTTGCAGTTGAACCCACAGCATCCAGATGTGAGGCGTCATATAGAGGGGTTGGCAGGTGTAGTGTGGGGGTTCCGGTCACGTGTTCATTATTGCCAGTCACAGACCTTCACGCAGACACACACACACACACCTGTGTCTGCCACGCCACACCCATCCTCCCTTTGCTCAGCGTGGGCCGAGGCCGGGTGCAGATTCCCCCTCCTGCTGTTAGAGAAATGCCAGTCCCTCCGGCTGCCCCGCAGAGAGGAGGAGGAGGAGGGGGAAGGAAGGAAAGAAGGAGGTGGGAGTGAAGGGAAGGGAAGGTTTAGAGAGGGAGAAACGGAAAGAAAAATAATTGACAAAGGCCATGAGCGTGAGGACGAAAGAGACGGATATGGATGAGTAGGAGAGGATTGGTTTGATGATGCCAGTGGGGAAAGACAAATGGGAGAAACAGGCAGTGGCAGTTGGAGATGGTAACAGAGAGGAAGTCTGTACTTTGAGTTTTTGCTCATAAGTCTGTGTATGCATATGTTTTGGGGAAAGAAACCTCAAAAGAAGGATAAATGCACATTCTCCAAAAAGCAATATAGCCGACCCCCAGTGTGACGTTCTCCCTATGCATGTCCCTCCCTCTCCCCCTACCTTGACATTTTATTCCCAGGCAGACCGGAGCCATGTGCAAAGTGGACGAAGTCTGCCACCCAGTGTTCACCGTTTGTATAGCAGGGTACCTTTTATTATGCATGACTGCTGTACATTCCTCTACTAACTCAGCACAGCACGGACACATGAACTGCAAGCTCCAGCACACGTGTGTGTTCTCATGTGAAATGTAACTGCTCCCTTTTTGAGGACGTCTAGTTATTGTCAGTGTGAGGATGATGATGATGGCGGTGGCGGCTAAGAGGGGTGTTTATGCAGTTTAATGTGTTCGTGTAAGTGTTTTGTTTTTTTATAAACTTGTACAAAGTTTAATCGTCAAGGCGTTGCATGTCGACGAATGAATGCCTTCCAGTGTTCAAGTAGTTTCTGTCATTGCAACTTGATTGTCAAAAAAGAAAAAAGAGAGGTATATCTCGAAGTAATATGCATTCTTCTTGCGTGAATGTACATTTTTATTTGTAAATTTCAGAGCAACCCAGAAGAAAAAGTTGGAATTGTACTGTGCGTTTGTGCCACAGGCTACGTTGAATGTTGATGTAATTGAACCCAAAATACGTTTCATATCAGCCTCGTATCACGCTTGCTGAAACGCACAATGCCACGTGGTTAACCTTGTGAAATAAGTGGTTATGTTTAGGCAAGAAAACTACTTGGCTATTGTTGGAAAAAAAGATCATAGTTTGGGTTCAAATAATAACTTACCAAATGTAGCGTATCAACCGTAACTACCGTGAATGAATACAAACGTCTTTAGCGAACTTTGTTACGTTAAGGTACGTATAGAAGCGTGACAACTGTAACTACCGCTTATAAATACAACAGCCCTTAGCGGACCTTCTTTCATAACATCACGTATCAAACTTAACAATTGTAACTCTAATAAATACATACCCGCCCTAATCTTTCTGTCTTACATAACGCTACGTGAGAAGAGTAATAACCATAAATGAATAACAACCACCCTTAGTAGACTTACTTGCATATCGTCACGTAACAAGTTTAACAACTTTAACTAACGTGAAAAAAATAACAACCGCTCTAATCCGTCTTTCTTACGTAACTTTACTTAAAATGCGTAACAACCGTAAATAAATAACAACCACCCTTAGCAGACTTTTTTGCACATCGTTATGTAACAAGTTTAACATCTTTGACTACCATGAATGAATAACATCCGCCCTTAGCCGACTTCCTTACGTAGCATTACGTAACGAGCGTAACTCCAACCTGCCTTTACTGGACTTTCTCTGTACGCAACTTTCAAAATAACGGTCGCTGGATTATCTACGTCAATTTCGCTGCCTGAATGCAAAAACATCAATATTTAACACATCCCTGGTTTGCAGGAACGTTCAATTGCAACATTTTTCTTCTCTGCGACTGGGCTGTTTAACTAACTAGCGCTACGTCTTGCAGAAACCATGGTATATTCAGTCAGCGGAACTTGAGAAACATGTATTTTTGATATTCTGCAACAATATGGAATGTTCCCGGGGTCATAAAGAAATAGACATGGAAGGTCTCTGCAAGACACGGACGATATCAAAAAGTATTCTGATGGCACTTAAAGCCTGTAGTGTGATTTTTGTACAACAAGAGCATTTTTGTCCGTCTCTTATCTTTGTCTTAATAGATGTATATTCAGCCCACTGTGTTTAAGAAATGATTCTTTTCATTGTATATACAACAAAGGATGGAACAATGGAAAATGTTTTCTGCCTCGTTTGCTTAGAGTAGAGCTACAAACGCCTTTTACATTTCTGTCTCTAATAACAAATCTATATTGTAGGTTGATGTTTTTATGAATGTCCAATAAGAAGAATGTAGACGTTTGAACTATAAACCCTTAACTGTTTTGACTGATAGGTTGTGTTTTGATATGCGGTTTGACTGCGTTTGTGCTCAATCACATCTCAAGTTGATGAACTGCAATACAGTAAAAACCAAACATAAAGCCACACCATCTGATTTATTGTACGCTGTTGTTTGTACGCAGACACATGACGGAAGGTGGCGAGTTGATTCTGTTCCTGGGAGCGATGCCTTCTGTAACACTGCACAGGGTGATGAGGCTCCTCCCATGAAAATGAGTTGATTCAGTAAACAGATTAAAGCACAGAACTATACATAACGTTTGCCTGGTTTACTGTCCCCTGTATCTGTTTCCATCTTGGGATTTTAACAGTATTTATAACCGTCCGTACTCACATTATTGTGATAATGACATGGTAATTACAGTAATGACATTGGCAAAACTGACAGTGATGGATTACAACCAAATTTGACACTTTTTGCGGAGTGCAGAGAAAAACTAGGGCTGTCCAGAGGGTAGGAAACTAATGTAAAAACGTATGTTTAATTTGGAAAATGTGATTAAAATCAGTCCCTGCACAGGGAAACATAAAATAGACTGTTTATTATGATTCCAGTATGTAGACACGAGCGAAGGGGAGAGAAAAGTGACCAAACAGATCACTGCGGTTGCACAGAGGAACAGTCTGTGCCGGGTCCAAATGTGACCGCCTTCTATGACTAAAAGAGGCAGAGGAGTAGCTCTCCCTGGACGTAAACATGCTGATAAAAGAGGTGCTTTCGGAGCGTCCAGGAGTCAAGGAGGCTTCGCTCAGAGAGGCGGAGAAGCAGCTCAGGAAGTGAAGGAGCTCATTGTAGAAACTATCAAACATGATGGAATGAGACGGCAGAAAGACTGAACCGCGTCTGTGAATCTGTTTCCATAAACCCACTAGCACATCACTCTCCTGCAGCTCTGCACAACAAGCAAGTTCTGATGTCATTGCAGAGTTCTCACACACATTTTACGAGTATGTGGAAAGAAGCAAGGAACAACATCTGGCAAAAACGTGTTATTTTTTTTTTTTTTAAAGGGACTTGAACAAACCCGGTTTTGTAGGACTTTGGGTAATAGGTCAGAGAGGCTGAGCTCAGGGAAACTTTGGGCACATAGAAATAAAAAAGAGGGAAAGAAAAGGGAGGCACACTTGAAGTTTTAAGCGGGTCTCTTAAGGGCTTTGGACTGGCTACTGTAGGGCTGTGCACAACATTTTTCTAGGAAACTGCTTGAAGTCAT